GTTTGTGGGACCGTAACATCGCTGAGGAATGGTGGGAGTACTGAATATCCCCATCGGGTACGTGGATGCGGCTTCCATACAAGGAAGCAATGCTCACTCAACTTGTGCATACATTTGAGGGAGGATGAAGTAGTCTCCACGCATGGAAATAGCGATTTGCTTGTTTCGTATTACCAGACTAGGAATATGCGCATAGGATCGAATAAAAACGTTTGCTTGGATGAATTTATGCAGCGAAGTGTGTAATGTTCGTATTATCTTGCTAGGACAATGGTGACAACCACAGATTACGACCCAAATGCAGAACTTTCCCAATTAATTGACATTATCAAGCACAATATCCGCCAGTACTGCCTTTTAGTGAGCGCATACTTTGGAGGAACCAGGTATACACTCTGCTAGAATTGCCACCCAAATCCAGAGGTAGCATGCATTTTTTGATGCAGGTACCCTGAGCACGGTTACATGCGTCAAGGCGATCCTTGGAGAAGAATGGCGCATTGATAGGTTTCCTAAAACAAATTCAAAAGCGATGACTTAGCTATTGATGACTTGACAGAATAAGGCTCTAAGAGGAAGAGACTTGTTCACTAATGAGTCATGTTTCAACTTTACCAATACTGGTGAGGAAGAGTCGTTTTTGGAAAGCACTCAACTTGGTAAGTGTGTCCTTTGTTCTTCACACAATTTGCATTTTACAAACTGCGAAATGACAAAGTTCTAATGGAACATGTTTTGGCCATGAAAATTCGTCTTATGCATGCATGGAAAAGGGCACCTCACAGTCATCTGGAGTTGTCCAGACGCACGCAAAAGAACTACTTGAGTTTTCTTGTGTTTGATGGAAGCCGTTTGCGCTTGCTATCACCGTTTTCAATAATAAACAGTGTAACAAATACTCTATTAGGAAACATCTATGTTCAGTACATGTGTCTATGTGTGACTGACTCAGCAGCTATTTTGAGAGTTCGCAGTAAAAGTAGGTGCACGAGCATTTGTGTCACTTCGAATTCACTTTTCTGAGTGTTTAGTTTCTATATCGTAGGACTATTTTAAACTGAATATCTGCTGTATAAAATGCGTGAAGTGATATAAATTGAGCTGAACTGGCAAAGTTGACCGATTTTAAGATCTGTAGTGGCGAACCTCACTAGGCTAGTTGCGTGGGCGCAAACAAATCAAATTACAAAACGCCATTGTGGTGATTGCATTCAGCTGAAATGTAAGGTGGTAGATCTTTAGGTACATCAAGGTCCACATTTTGTCTTACATGGTGATCAAAATGACTTGAGCTACTGAATTGGGTTGAGTAAAATAGGATAAGTACTTGATTGCATGCCATTTGGTATTAAGTTAAATGCATAAGTCTAAATCAAATAATTGGAGCATTGAGGAGAAGTGTAATGGTAAATCAAATAAACGGCAATTTTACGGACATGTAAATGGTCTTAAAGTTAAAGCCGTCGGAATCGGTGGCATATTTTGAATGGCTAGGACGATAATCAATGGAGAGAATACAATTTTTCATGGTAAAGGAGGACGAGAGTAAAGTCGGACCATTCACATGAGCACTAGGTATCTATGTCGCATTAAGGTAGGAGTGGACGAGTGTGAGCCTGGCTTAATTAAATTGATAAACTTTACCTGTTGGAAAGGTGATCTGCATTAGAATAATCGAAACCAATATATCTGCCGAAGAAGTTAAAGTCAAAACCACGGTAATAGCAAATCAGAAACCGAGTGATTGACTGTGTTGCAAAGAGAAAGGTAGCTGTTGCAGCAAAATGCCATGGGCTTCATCACTAATACATGATCAAACAAAATTTGCCCTGGAATAGTGCTTTACAAATTTTAGTGCAACGGCGGAAGATTAATAGCGAACCCACGATTTGCAAAAGGAATCATCCTTAGGATTTTTTAGCACTCCATCTAATCAACCGAAGAGTCGTAACCTCTTAGCATAAAGGCCAGTGTCTTCGATATTTTGCTCAAAATAAGACATTTCATTGCCTTCTCCCGGGTACTAATCACGAGTTAAACACGACATTGCTTCTAACTTTTGTTAAAAAGGCATTTAAAAGAAATAACTGCAATTCCAAAAGTCACAGAAAGTAAGTCGTGTCTTTAAAATGCGTAAAATTGCAAGTTATGCCAGTTGAAAGTGTGGCTAATTGAATCAGAGGAGATTGGACTAGGATGGACTGGCTGCTGCAGGAGCCGAAGCAATATTGGTCGATGGTATTGTATTCTGTTCTAAAACATCGCCTGCCAATATTCTACTGCTCCTGCAAGACTCTCCATCTCAATAAATGCCTACGAGTTGCCTTAATCCCTTACAATTGATCACTTTCCCTCCCACCCTCATGCTGATCATCAATGTGATTTTTCGCCTGTACTTACAAGGGGTACATAACACACAAGTTTCCTGTCCTCTGTGATTGACATGTTCTCATAATGCCACTTCAATTAGTCCTGAGTACCATGACGAAAATACATAGCAGTAGGATTCGCCAACTTAAGGTCATTAAAGCCGAATGCATTCCATTCTATTCTATTTAACAAGAGGAGCGTATTTCGTTCCTCACCAAATGCTGCCAATGCCGTAGGCACCGCAATGTTGCATGTCGGTAATCAATGCTTTAGGTGAGTAGTAACATTCTGCTGCGCTCATTTCAATGCCTAAATCACCAAGAAGCGGTGAAAGCAGTCAACTGAATTTTGGAATTTTTACAGTCTCTGGGCACTTCAATGCTCAAAGGCAACAATTATTCGGCTGTGTGGGTAACATCCCCAAGTTGCTTCGCCTGTGAACTACAAGGGTCTCAACATTTGGCAGACCGATCTACATGCTGTAAACAAGAGTAGTCCGTGTAGTAGGATTCTTTGCCAACGTTATACACAAATACTTGAGTTCGGACACATAACGAAGACGCCTTGCCCTTTCTTAAATAATGGTTTGGCTTGTCACGCCCCCTTGTAGTTCTTGATGGGAACTGCAACGCCCATCCGTTTGGTGGGCATTCTGTTTATACAGTATCAGTTTAGAACTTCAGGAGTGAAAACCTCTCTCCGACTAATGCTATTGCGACGTAAGAACGAGTAAATGTCCCATTTTACTTTCTCATCATTTTCAACAACTTCTTCTTCGTTGCAGCCATGGTCAACAGCATGTTTTCATGAGGACATCTTCCAGCTATTAACATAAACAAAGAAACTGCTTTGATTACTGTCGCAAACATTTCGTCTGACTATTAGTTATGCTTAGTAGAGCCCTCTGCAGCGAAGGGTTCCGCTGCATTGTCGAAGTGTTACCACATTTACATTAACGATACACTTTCAGCAAGCATTGCCAGACTAACAGGTATCATGATGCCACTAGTGGAAACTCTTAACAAATGATTAAAGGAAATATATTTTCTTAAATTAAAAATGCTTTTTAAAAACTACACAGAGAGTGATCAAGAAAGTTATGCTATTATTAGAGGAGTATAAACGTTCCCGAATGAAGAATGACCGAAAAAACAAATGATTTCCATATTCATAACTATGTTAGTATTTTTCATCTAACCATATCATGGTTGATTGTTTTACAGTCTTGTCAACCAGTTAAATTCATTCACACAACGAAAACCACAACTGCCATTTGTATTTCCATATTCTACCAAAAAATGCACAGTGATACTTTAGATAACCAAAGTTGCTAAATTGGCTATCAAAATGTCCACCAACCTGTCGTGGTCGACCTTCCAATTCCGAGTGCGTATGTTGCCAAGGTCACACACGATGTGCTTTGAGCCCGTGGCACCTGTTTCGCTTTGATCCGGTATCGACTAATCATTCTCCTCATCTTCATCCTCCTCTTCCCCCCCCAAAATTTTCCACGTTTTGCACCTTCAGTGACCCAACGCAGTGGCTCAGTAGACCGTATGCGATATTCGAAATTAAGGCGAAGGTATTTATGTTGCCAATTCCATGTATCATGTCAAACCTAATAAGGTATGTTCTACCCAGCCAAATACTCACCTTCTAGTAGTAAACTTATGAAGTACAAAGCCGTGGTCCCAAGATGTAGATTCCAATCTCTCCGTAGTATAAGAACTCAAAGATGTGATGCAAATCTTAAATTTACTAAGCAAAAAAACGGTCGTTATGCCTCACAGGGTAAAGTTGTGATGACACAGATGTTACTTTGCTAGCTAGTGGTGCTCCACAGATAGTGACAATTAACTGTTCCGTTCAGTTAGTCAGAATAGATCTACCCACTTGGGAATTTCAAACAGTCAAGATCCATCCAATAAGAGATCATTTGTTCTGTTTCGAATTTCCGTCCCATACCGTCATCTCGTGCAAAACATTGTTCACCTGCAAATGACAAACAAATGCCTTACGCATACCGTCCTATCTCAGAGTATTAAAAAAATGGGAAAATAGTTTGCTCACATTGGTTGTTTATATAGGTGGGATATATCTTAAGTATATTTTCATCAGCATTCCTATTGTACTCCATTCGGGGTCTGAACCACCTCTACATAGTGGAATATAATGTGTTACTATTCATTACACCTAAACCAATTTGAAAAGAATTTCAACGGTGATGACATCTTGGACCCTATTGTGTTGACTTGCAGTCAACACGGCGCGTCATCCCTTTACAACTTGAGTAAGTGTTTGCGAGTTCATTCCACTAGAGGGTTTTGGTGTGAGGTCTTATCAGGGAGAATGAGGTTGAGTGCTAGTTGCTGGGCTGCATTCTCATCCTGCACTCTGATTAGCAAAAGCTGCTCTTCCCCTACTTGGCTGTGCATCTTTCCGAGGCCTCAGTTGTGCTAAGCAAACGGAATAGGGTATGCCAAACGGACTGATGAGGAAACGAATGATGAATGGTGACACACCCACCCCATAAATATAAAAAACAAGTACAGGAATGTCGCATCCTCCCCTGACGTTTAAACGTAGTCCAAACAGCTGTGGGACTAGTCAAATCGGCCTTGGAAATGAAGTCGCCTCTTTGCTGTGTCAATTTCCACCAGTAGATTAATTAAAGCCTTGAACCTCTGCAAACGATTCGTTTAGGGACAAACCATCATAGCATTTGGCCTTACTTTTTCTATGTGATGTGAAAATCGACAGTTACATGGGCTTCTGGCTAAGAGCAACTACCAATGCCGACCCATTTAATCAAAAGAGAGAAAATTTTGTTTGCATCATCTAGTAAAACATGTTTTTTGAGACAAGGGCTACAGGGGAGAGCATTTGACTATTGATAACTTGAGGATGACTACTTGATGTCATTGGGTGGCACAAGTATGTGGATATGGGAAGATAAATGGGTCGTCTTCACCTCTCCCCTCCTTCTCCCCCCTTCCACTTGTCTCCTATGTCCTCTACCCATAACTCCCCTCGGCCCCTACAATACAGCCCACGTTACCACAATTCAAAAGGGGTGTTAACCATTTATCATTGCGCAAGTGAAGGCTTCGCAGTTGGCATCAGTGTCTCCAAACCCCCATATAAATTTACGGTTGACTAGAATATTGGCTTTTCGTAGGAAAGTTTCCTGTTTGTTTAACAACATCAGTGAACATTCCTTCCGAGATTGATGATTTCCCAACGCGTTTGTGCGTTGGAGGCAAATTTTGACAAAGGAGCTAATGCTACTAATGGCCTTAATGACACTTTAGAGCTGAAGATTTCAACCATACACTTTTATAGTTATGAAAACATATATGTGTCAGGCCTTGGTGGCCGATACTTTCGCCCTCCTGAACATACCGGACTCCCTTCATCTCCTATTCCGTCGTTGCGAAGTTGCGTTCGGTTAACATGACGAAGAGTGTGCAACTGACTAGGACCATTCGACTACAGAGCCAACATTGATTTGGACAATATGATTCCGTAGGGTGCCGCTAATCAAATTATAGGGTGCAAAAACGAAATCTGCCGTTATTTTCTCCATGCCTAGTCAAGTTGAGACTAATTAATTCCGATTTGAATTGAGGTAACTAATGAAATTGCTTTCTCCACCTCTGAAACAGGTTTGGTGGTAGGTGGCAGTTATATTGCTAAATTTGATCGCCCGGGGGGGGTAAAAATGACGAATCATGCGAGCTGCATAGGTAGTGGTAGCGGTAGTGGCATAGGTTGAGCCCTGGAGGGGAAGGCAAAGAAAGGAAAAGAAGTAGAGTCATGATTGCGCTTACATTGAACTCGCATCACCTATATTTGTTAAGTCCAAGAGTCATTTTAATGCTACTCACCCTTTTTTCCTTCCTTCCCTTTCTTTGCCTTTGCTCAATTGGAACTTCAATACATGCATCAAAGATCTTCACATTGTTCAAGTAAGGTGTGAAATATAGCAGTGGTGAAGCTGTGTAATATTATTTGATTTCAATGCTGGTACAAAAAATAAAAGTGGTACCGATTTTTAGGTACTAAAGGGGGTAGGATTCAATGAATCAAGGAATGAAAGTCATACTTACATACAGAATTCATCCTTTCAAATAACTTTCCTGAAATAATCACGGTTTCGGCAGGACAATATGAAGATTGTTTTATTTATTTTTTCTTACTGATGAAGTTAACCTGTCTACAGTTTTCGGAAATACTGAAATGATGCGATGTGAATGATTACACGCCCGCCAGTGTCAGCTTCTTATTTGGTCAATTTGAGTCTGAGGACCGACTTTGTCCCGCTGACCCGAAGGTATACAGAAGTGACCTTACTTGGCCACTCAAAGCAGAACGTAACGAAGGAAAATCAAAGTCGCCTCCAAAAGCGCTTGTTGGCAAACCTGCAAAGCGTTTGAGCGTCAACCATGTCAGCTTATCCAAGTCGAAGAGACGAACTGAAGAATACAGGTCTCGAACAGGAATAAGCGGCTGAGTTAAGAAAATAATTGATTCACTAACACTGCTCTTAATGTTTGCTTTGCGTTCGCATACGTAGCGTTTAACATAATTTATGCCCTCTCTACCTTGGGCACGAAAACTGATAGCAAAGGACCCATGAAGAGCTCGGATTTCGGGTAAGATTTTACAGCCCTGCTCTTTGTGTTTGGAAGAGAGACAACTTACCATTTCATATATTTGTCACATTTAACTCCCTCTAATAGAAAAAAAAAACAATTTTTCGGGCACTAGAAGGATAGATTAGACAAACTACTGTTTTAGGTCCACTAGCACGACTATACTTTGACGGAGTGAAACTAATGAATATTTACGCTGCAAAAGGAAAGCCGTTTTCGTAAGGAGAAGGTGGAGGTACTGAATTTCTCAGATGTCGAGTTAGAGAGGATAAATAGCCAGAATAACTACCATGAACATCCTGACGCTAAAGTACGATTACAAGCAATTCACAGGGGTGGCATCACCAAGCCAATTGCTGGTTACCGGAGTCCCCACACTCCACTTCTGCCCCGCCTCCTCAGTATTAGCTTATCAATATACCCCTACCATTCAGAATCTCACCTCTATTCTCGAATGTACTTGCATGGAAAGAAAAGGTGAATGGGTCTAGGTAGCTAAGTCAGAACAAAACCCATGCAATATATGACATCTGGTCAGTTACAGTGTCGTTATTAGGCCAAGCAGGTCAATGAATTGCGAAAATTGGCGAGACACGAGGGGATAGTGAAAGGGGGGGTAAAGCCTAACTCTTGGTAAGCACGTGGTAATCCTTTAGATCCCCGTAAACGCGCCTGCACAGGAAGTCAACATAAATAAAATTTATCTAGTTATTCCGTTATTACCACCATCCGTCTCAGTCAATTACTTCATAAATTTCAGTCATAACTATTCTAGAAAAGGTATCCATTTGACTTTTGAGTGTAGTCAGTCTGCCTTTATGCATATTAGTGGATCCATTAATAAATCTTTACTCAACTAATTAGTAATAGGCCTACACCCACCTTGACGTTCTCATAATAATATTCCATCGCTGCATAGCACAAGTGAAGCGGAATACCCCAACTGGGAAAAACAGGTGAGCGGTTTGCCACAAATGCGTCGGTGGTCAAGTGGATCCACGCGACCTGTTATGAGACCGCTGAACAAGTGGATCACTTGTCACATGTCCTCGCTGATTTACTGCTTGACTGCCCTTAGAGGCAGCTGTTCCTGCTATAAATCGCCTGTGAGCCACACCAGAATTTGCATCTTCCCCATTCATTACTAACAGATGTTTTAATCACCATTAGTTCCTTGCTATCGCCACGTACTTTTTAAGCGTAGGCTCATAAACAGATTTGGACGTTTATTTTGTGTAAAATGCATGAAATATTCCAGTCGAAAAACCAATGCTATATATATATATATATATATATATATATATATATATCAAAATATTTCATGATAGCTCAATTTGAGAAGATTTCTCTTTTAATGTTCTTTTGTTACGAATAAATTAACGTCTGGAAATGTTTTAACGCTATAGAGGACCACATTTTTAAGGTTTCACCATGATTCCATTTACAGGTTTTCCTTAAAAACGAGCAGAAACTGCTCCGTGTTTGGATACTTTTACGCTATATCTTCCTTTGAAATGGGACTTTATAATGCTCTTGTATTCTATTGTTGTTTACCACTAATCAAGGTGGATTGTCCGACTCGATGCTGGCAGGGAGAACGACTGGTCAGATTTAATTAACTTTGAGAGGAGTCGCCGTTTAGGTTTGGCAATATTCGCAGTCATGCCGCTTTACCCACTCGCACGGATAAGCCGAAGTCATCTTACCAACAACTGACTGCAAAAGAAATATCTGAGAGGGACGCATATAGTATTTAGCGAGAGGCATTTGATTTACGAAGAATAGTTTCATTCGACTCTTAAAGAAGCTGGAAGCGTGCAAAAGAGTGTATAAGTATAAGTGAGATTTGGAGGGGAGACATAACAGGAAGCACGATTACCAGTTTCGGGTGGACACAATGTTTGCTTTCAGTCTACTTGCTAGTATCTGTTGACGTAGATCAGTGCAATCTTCACATGATGCGGTCCTACTGGAACGACGAATTCTAAAATGACTGCTTAAACTTGTAAATTCTGTCAGCAAGATCATTACGCAACTAATCCCTTTAACTTATTGCAACACCACATCTTCTTCCGTACAGTGGATCTGAATGCAGCTGAATCTAAGGAGTGGGGAAAAGGGAGTACCCGGGAGATGGGCAGCGCAAATATTCCGTTAATTTTCTTTCGGGTAAGCATTTATTATACAGCTTAATTATGAATATCCCTTTTAAGCATTAAAAGTGTGATGAGCAGTAGGTGTAGAAGGAAAATGTGAAGATAATAAAACCAGGTGACATCTTCCAAAACCTACTATTTGTGAGTAGTCTCCTCACCTCTTCTCAACTCCACTCATTTGATTTTAATAGACAAATCTCCATGACTACTCTAGGTTCATGCCCTTCTTTGTCAATGTGATTCACTTAAGTTTAATTGAGTCTACTTGAGGTGGTCTTCGAGCATTCAAAAGTGGGTTAAGTGACGTGCCGATGCATGCTCTCGTATAATTCCACTACATTTTTGCATATCAAATGAAGACGTGATTGAAGTGTACTGTTGAACACACTTAGTCCAAGGTGAATCAGATACCATAAGCAGGTGGGCTTAGATTCACGGAATTGGCCACGTACTTAGCCTGTTGCAGTTGCTACTACCCTGGCCTCAGTCTCTTACATGCACGCCACACCTGTTTGCCAGCTTATGCATCTACGCAGTTCCTTGTGTTGTAGAGGTCGATTATAGCTGTAGCCTCAATTGGGTGGACAATTTGCTGACAGCAGTAGTCACCACATGTTCCAGTGCTATCATGCCTATTTGAAAAATAGATCGCCGCTGTGGAGATTTACCACTGAAGTTGTGTATTCCTCATGCCGAGCTCTTGCAAGGAGGACAAATGAGGTCATTCATGGGTGAAGTAAAAGCGATGGCAGTGACTACAGCGGATAAATCAGAGGTTGGAATCGCCTCCTCAAGCTATGTGTACTTACTTTAGCGATGCCAAAACCGTTCCTACTATCGCAATTTTGATATATGGAAAAAGAATTAAGGTCTGAAAAAGCGAAAGATGAGGCTGAGATAGATGAGAAGGTGGAGGATCCACGATTCCTATGCAGGTACTAGCAACTGCACAAATGGTAGGAACGCCCATATCAGTGTTGATGGTCAAATGCACCTCCTACGCCGTTAGATTTTCCTCCTGCTTTTTGCTTTGGGATCGGTATTGGTGTCAATGAGTTTGCGTCTGACCACCTCGTGTGTGTAGTATTTGTAAATCATTTCTCCTCGTTATCGGAGTCATTCGTTGCATTTCTCTGGCTGTGGTGGTGCATTACCAGTGAGAGAAAATCCAGCCACTTGACAATGTGGTGCCTAGTAATGTCGCTTTTGTAGAAGTAAAATACGTATAACTGGCAAAATTGGGAGTAATATGGGAGTGTAAATTGATATTTATTAATGATTACTGTTTGTGATAAGGGATGTATCATCATTTTCATAAGGCTTATTTATGGTCTATTTTATGGTCTGCATTTTGGTGCTTTTTGCCTCTGATCTTTTATTTACACAGTTCCAAGTCTTACATTACTACCATAATATCTCTATAACATTCGTTTCTCTCTTTGGCTTGCTCAATGCTTTACATTTCCTATCGTAGAGGGGCTCTCTTCTCTGTCCCTCCATTCCTTCATCATCAAGGCATTCGATTTACAAGGAAATGCAGTCTTTAATGCCTCAGAAAGCTAAAAAAATATGTGAAGAAGCTCATACAGATAAGAGGGTAATGAAAAGGAAAGCGATATCATTATTATTACTAATATCATCTGGACATGATGTTTGATTTCACTGTGTTTAAATAAGACACCGTCAACTAAATCGACCTAATTCCAAATCTTACAGGTTGATAAAAGGCCTTTACTAAAACTATTGAAAGGGAGCACGTTTTTGAACAAACCAACTTCAAAAGTACCTCTGGAATTTGTCCTGAAATTCCACCCACAGCCTGTTTCACCAACTACATTCCTGACAATGCGGAATCTAAACAGAATGACCTACTGAAATGCAGACATTGCATTTTAAGTAGTATATTCGCTTGCATTAATATTTAGCAAACAGGCATAACTTGTTCATTTTGCCTATTAAGTTGCGAATTTCGTAGGAGATGAGAGGTTTCAACAGTAACACAGGAGAAAAAAATAGCTAAACGGAATTTTTCTTAACAAAAACCACATTAATTCCAGCTAAATCTTTTGATAATGTCATCTTCTGAAGAAAGGCATTGCGCGGTGTTACACATCATAAAGTAGTAATTATGAATCGCCAAACATTTATAACTAAGGCGACATCTTAATCCAACCAATCAGAAGCATTGACCAATAACATTCATGACTCCGACTGCCGTCCATGCCATATCATTTCAGTAAGCTACACAAAAGTACTAATGCTGTGGCAAGAGGGTCTGGTCCTCCTTTTCCTTCGTATTCTTCACCTCCTCCACGTTACTCCCCTGGTGGAGTCAGCAGAGGTGCCATTGAAGGAGATCCCACTCCGGGAACAATTGATGGAGCACCTCTTTAAGGACTACCAAAACTATGAGATTCCAGGAGCCTTCAACCAGACCACCACCATTGTCACCGTCTATATGACGATAACAGAGATCACTTCCGTGGATGTGCGCATGATGGACTACACTACCTACCTTCTTTTGCGTCAAGAATGGCAAGACCCAAGACTGGCTTGGAACAATATTCCACGATTTCGAAATTACACCAAAAACCTAGTCTCCCCTAAATTGAAGGAGAAGTTGTGGCTACCGGATTTATTTTTTCGCAATGGCAAAGAAGGTCGTATCCATCGTATGACCCTGCCCAACTATTTGACTCGTATATCTCCCGATGGAAATATCCTCTATAGTCAAAAGATAACGATGCGATTCTCTTGCCAGATGGATCTCAAAACCTTTCCCATGGATGCTCAGACATGTCACATAAATATAGGAAGTTACGGATACTCCTTGAAGGAGCTGCGTTTTGTCTGGCGATCAATTCAGCCCATTGAGCTTTCTGATGGCATGCAAATTGCTGAATTTAATAGTCCCGAAAGTGTGGTAGCTCAAGACTGTAACGCTTTCCCAACGGACGGAAATTCATCCTGTCTCAAGGTGACTTTTGTTCTTTCACGTCAATTGGGCTCTTGGTTCTCCAGTGTCTATATAACCAACTTCCTCATTGTCATTGCATCATGGCATAGCTTCTGGGTGGATATTGAAGCTCAGCCAGCCCGAGTAGCGCTGGGATTGTTGACTCTCCTTGGAATGATTACTCAGGCTTCGGGAATCTCGCAGAACCTTCCAAGAGTTTCCTACATTAAAGCAATTGATGTATGGAACATTGCGTGCATCACCTTCAACGTCAGCGTCCTGATTGAATTTGCTGTGGCCTCAAATATGCGAAGCACACGGAGTAGACGGCCAGAGCGATGGCGTTTGAATGCCAGAGAAGCCCTCCGAGCAGAGGTGGATGGGTGGTGCATTGGATGTCGAAAAGCATTTATCCAACGACAACAATTTGCTGGTGTTTCTGATGGTAATGTTAGCAGTAGTGACCTCGAAACGGCCCTCATTCAAGCCATCTATCCAGACCTTGGAAGTCGATCCAACCTCTTTCCAAATGACGTTCTTAAACCAAAAGAGCATTCAAGTAAGAAGAAGTCAGCATTTGACATTCCTGACACTAAGGATGAAGAAACTGAAGATGGCCAAGATGAGGATGTTGACGGCGTGAAGGAGGTTGCAACAACGTCAGAGGATGGCGAAGTGACCGACTCAGAGAAAAAAAAGAAGAAGACGAGAAGAAGGGTATCAAAAATTGATATCTACAGCCGATTTCTTTTTCCTCTCTGCTTCTTTGTCTACAACTGCTGCTACTGGTCATACTACTTAATTCTTGTAAAAAAGAAGTAGAAACATGAAAATTATCTTCAAACAAGGAAAAAACATAAAATTATTTATTTTGCTTTTGATTTAAGTCGTTGTCTTTAGATAGTAATTTTAAAGAGAAATGCAGAAGGATAACACCTTTACTGGTGGGCGTCTGATTTAAAAATTTTTAAATAAAGAATCTGTGTTCCACATTTTCCTTAGTGAGGTTTATTATAGTTCTTTCATTTTAGCTGCTTCTGTCTTTCTGCCTCACCTCTATAAACCAGCTGGAGACTTTGTGGAGAACAAATGACACCAAAAGCAAACGGAGGTTGAATCTCAGCTTCCACGACTTTCCTTTACCAAATGTTGAGGATGTTGATCGTTTCGACGGGCGAGTTAAGTGCTACTGAAATACAGGAATGTTAATTGAGACGAGTAATCCCCAGTGGTAAAGAACAGGCCTGGTTGCCACACCTTCCCTAGGTGCTCTGGGAAGGCTACGCATCTTTGGGCAGAAGTCAAACTTATCCAGTAGAGTAGAAAAATATGACTTCTCATCCTGCCAAGGCTCAAAGTGGCCAAAAATTTGTTAAAGGGTGTGCAGTAAAATGGAAGTGACCAGAAACATTCCGAAATAAAATATCTTACGACTGTTGGAAAGGCCTCCATCAAGCGACAGAGGTGCAGTGGTGAGAGTCCGAGAATGCCATTTTGTGTTGATTCGCTAGAATTCACTCATTTTAGAAAAGCCATAACTCTATGAGTAGGGAGAAAATGTCAACAATTCAGTCGTGATATTTTAAGAGAAATAGTAGCTGTGATTTCGGATTAAAATGCCTGCAGAGGACAGGAATGAAGGAGTTTTTCTCATCAGATCCAAATACAGTTAGGGGCGAGTTTTTACGGAAACAGACAGGAGCCTCATCTCCGCAGACTGCATGGGTAGAAATTAAAATAAATTGCATAAATCGGGATTAACCTTTTAATTTTTTACGCTTTATATTGGGGTCTTGTGCAAGTGCTCTGAATTTTGATTAGATTGTTAGCAAACCGGAAAATTTTTCCCCTCTCCATCAAAAAACGGATCAAATAAAGTTGAAGGCATTTCAGAGTAGTCAGTGCTAAGTAAAACTGATTTATTCATGAAAAAATACCAATAAAGATTACCTACTAATGCATTCGTGAAGAAAAGTGGTGACTGTTGAATTTCCACATTTACACGGGCTAATTGGCCGCCTCAGACCGCAGTTTCAACAAATGTTATGGGCAAAGGATTTTGCCTATAAACAGCCAGCCTTTTTATTTTCAATAATAATTCTTTTTGCACTCTGTTGTGTCTACCCATGCAGCGCTCCGAGACCTTACTGCAGGCAATAGAAGATTATACTGGGCAGAATATGCACGTCCGCCATAATAGTAATGCTTAGGACAACTGGCATGGTCCGACGGCCAACTCCTCCGGTGAAGGTACACTGGAGGGGCACCTAAGGGGACTTTTAGCGAAATTGGGACTTTAGCAACCAACGTATTACACCTAGGACTTTCAGGAAGGCTTGAAGGACTAAATTTTTCTGCATTTGTCCCAGAGCCTTGGTGGAAACTTTTCTCTGCCTCACATGAAAATCTGCTACAAGTGCTGCCTCCTATGAAATAACTCCAGTTTGAGAAGTTTCCCACTTTTAAAAATTGCCCGAAACAGCGTTTTTATTTAGCAGAACAATTTCGTACTTACCCATTATCTAAGAAACCTTAATAATGCCCATTTCCGTTTATAAATAAATCGACAGTTTTACTCAAACTATGTCAGCAATTGTTAAAAGTTCTGCGTGAGTTCAAAACTAGCATCTAGATATTCACGGTATGCTCAACACGTCGCCGTATCGGTATCAAATGTAGTTTTGAGGCGACTTAAACCTTCTTTAAAAAGAAATGACTGATTTCGCAACCATAAAATCTCAAAAAAAATGCTAAATTTTCTGGTCCCGTCTCCTATGCTTTTTTAAAAATGATCATAGGATGAATACATAAATATTGAGCCAGTTTAAACGGGGCTAATCTCAAATTGAGCTCTGAAATAACTACTTATCATTTATTTTAGTGGTTGAAACACCTTAGCGACAGCACCACTTCTGTTAGTATTTTCAGGTAGAAACGGTTGTTGGCGTTGTTACAGCAGACCTAAATTCCTATTGGTTCAGTCCTGCAGTTTCCACTTCCCCATCGATCACGCCTTATTGTACTCATCAATGCATACGCGAAAGGCTATTCACGCACATCTCCCCCTCTGTCCAATCAACGCACACCTGGCTCTTTTCGCCGATCATTGGTCACCCACCTGGCTGGGCATCCAATCAGCGTGACAGACTGGTTTGCGTACCTAGAATATGGGCTAACGGGCGTCCTCATACATGTCATCGTCTTTAGCTTCCCTAAGGATGCTGCTTCTGGCAATTACTTTTCTCCTTCTACTTCAGCTGACCTCTGCTCAATCAAATACAACTACAGTCGCCTTCAATGGAACCTCAATGCGCGAACAGATTATGGATTATCTCTTTGAGAATTATCAAAGCCACGAACGACCAGGAGCGGCTAATAAAGAACCTTCGGTTGTCATTGTCTACATCACTGTAACAGCTATCACATCAGTGGATGTGCGAATGATGGAGTACACTGCAGACATGATGCTGCGCCAGGAGTGGAGAGATCCACGTCTGGCTTGGGATAGGCATCCAGTATTTAAAAAATTTACAAAAAATCTTGTTTCGCCTGAATTAAAGGGAAAACTTTGGCTACCTGATCTCTTCTTTAGAAATGGCAAAGAGGGTCGTTTGCACAAAATGACCCTACCCAACTACCTAACACGAATTTCACCAGATGGAAATATCCTTTACAGCCAGAAGATCACTATGCGTTTCTCCTGTCAAATGGATTTAGCCAACTTTCCCATGGATAGCCAGGACTGTACTATGAATATTGGAAGCTATGGTTACGAGTATTCAGAGCTTCAATTTGTTTGGCGGAATGATACACCAATCTCAATGTCACCTGGAATGCAGATTTCGGAGTTTAACAGTCCGGAGAATGTGATTTCCTATGATTGTAGTGCCGAGTCGTCTACATCGACAGGAAATTACACATGCCTAGAAATTCGTTTCACATTGACTCGTGAACTCGGTTCCTGGCTTTCCAGTGTCTATATCCCCAATTTCCTAATTATAGTCGCTTCGTGGCATAGTTTTTGGGTGGATTTAGATGCGAAACCAGCTAGAGTTACCCTGGGATTACTGACTCTTCTTAGCATCCTCACACAGGCTTCTGGAGTTGCATCCAGTCTTCCACGAGTGTCGTACATTAAAGCAATTGATGTATGGAATATCGCATGCATAATTTTCGATGTTGGCGTATTAATTGAATTCACTGTTGCTTCTCACGTGGCGAGACGTATCAAGACCGAGGACTGGAAGGATGATGTTCGCAATGCGGTGCGTCATGAGTTATCGCGATGGTGTGCCACCTGTCAACAGGTGTTTTATCAACGTGGGCCTTCAGCCTCGGGTATCTACTTATCCGCAGCAGGATTTTCCGAGGCCAGTCCACGAAAATTCATTGATTCGGCTAATGCCACTGCATTGGCTTTGAAAAGAGGAAAATTGGAGTTCTGCGAGGAGATGGAACGCATTCTCATTGAAGTCTTTTTACCCGAAGAGATGAGTAAATCCAAGATCTTCCCTGCGGACATTGGGCAAAGTAAAGCGGAGCTTCAACAAAATATGATAATGACGGATGCGTTGAATGCTGCACTGCTGCCATCGGAAGAATGGCGTGATTTTCCTGTGCCTAAGAGTGATGAACTACCGACACGGAAACCGAAAAAGATATCTGAAATTGACGGCTACAGTCGTTTTCTCTTTCCTGCCTGTTTTCTCCTCTACAACTGCTTCTATTGGCTATATTACCTTGTGCTGGTACATAAAATGTAATGGGACGGTCTCCCCCCATACTTGACTGGATTCTCTGCCTCACCGTCTCCCTCCGTGTGTCTGCGTGTGTGTATGCAAATTACTTGGATTTGAATGTGTTTTATGAGAGGGTAATAAACACGCCACTTGGAGGACACGTGTGTCCACACTGCCAAGGTCAAAGGGCATGCCAGGGGCGGGTTGTCAACGCTGCCAATAATAGGGGAATATATTTAAAACAAGGTAGTATTTAAAAAAATTCAACATTTTACAAGTGACAATCTCAAACTTCTAATCATGCTGTTGATTCTGCCATTGATTTTATGTAATTGACCTCTGGTGTCAAGCCCATTGGCATCATCATTAATAGTTATTTTTAAATGAATAACCTTGAGAATTAGGGAGAAAATAAGTTTTTTGTTCTTTAGCTTTGCATGTGTCGAAGGATATCCAGGTAAAATTGTTTTCAGCGTACATTACAAGATAATCAAGTGATGCCTTACAGTTGACTTCAGAAGGCTACTCTTCAAATGCCTTACTCAAATAGCTATACTCTACCATCCTTTTCGACAGAACACAAGCTATTTGCTAATTTCACCCCTACACAACACCTCGTCACCGGAGTCCATGAGAGAGGGGATTTCCAATTGCCTGTTTGACTTCACGCGTGAGTGTCTGCTACCGGTCCCAAGAAGTGGTAGTCATCACTTGAAAGAAGACAGAGAGGAGGAAGATGGGACTGCATGCACTTCCTTTCTTCCCTCTCACCTACAGTACGCTATGTAGACTTCTCAGAGATAATTTTTACAATACAGGAAGTAAAATACTCGAAGAACCCATTTTGGCAGTGGCCACTTCTCAAGGTAGAGATGCATCACAGGTAAATTCTACGTTACAACTGGCGTCTGGCTTGCCATAAGAAACACGCAGCGAAGGCAAAGCTGATGTAGCCTTTGGGCGATGAATTTATCCAAGCCTTAGAAACACGGAGTAAGTGGTGAGTAAAAAATGATTTGGAGGAATGATTAAAGGTGTGTACATCAACTTAACGATAGCTGTAAATTAGTTAATAGGCAAACAACCTAAAAAAGGGCGTTTTAAAAGACGATGTGAAGAGGAGGAGCAAAGGCTGCATCAGTAGCCCCTGCGGCTGTAGGCATCGAGACGAGATGGCATTCAACGCAGCCTCATTTCATTCACCATTTGACATCAACATCACTATTATGTCATCCTGCTCCCATCACCCATGCTACAAGACTTCCGGTCTTGCCTTGGGATAACAATGAAATCCTTGCAGGTTCGTAGATCATTGAGAATAGAACAGAATTTTCTCATCATCGCATGATCCCATTACTCCCTTATCGGTAGCCAAGGCGCACGGAAATCTCCCATGCTGCCATCGGCAGGTGTCCCACACTTTAGGACTGCAAAAATTTTCAAGACTATCTTTTTTGTTGCAAAAATGACCAAAAAATCCCCCGAAAAAATTGTCAAGTCTTGTTATTACCACCGTAAGTAGGCTGACTTGTTAAAAGTTGTTACAGAAGTTTCGTTTTTTGACTCGAGCTTTGCATTCACGGGGGTTACACACCCACAGGCCTCCTGGCAGGCGATTACGATCTAAAAGAACAAATATCCCGATTTCCAGAGATATTACATTCCCTGAGGATAGGTGCGTCTGCAAAGACTCTCACGAGAAAGACTGAAATGACTTCAACCTGAAACACTACCAATCTCGAGTACCTTAAGGAGGCTATCAAAAAAGCGAAGCGATGCCAGACTTGAGGGTTTTGGAAGAATTTCTTTAAAAAACCGTCCGCGTCGATGTTGACTGCGTGATCAAACGGTGCCTACACCGAGTCTCTGCTTACCGAATGAAAATCAGAGTGAGACTGGATGACACTGAATTAAGAGATAACTCTCCACACGTGGAATTTTAAGATGCTAGTCTGTCCTTCAATAAAAGCACATTAGTGATTAGTCCATGAAATTCAACTGTTACAGGGCATCGTCCAGCCTTAAACAGTAAGAAGTCGGGAAATCTACCTCCCCTTAGAATAAAATAGAAGTGATGCGGCTCATTGCTAGCGTTGGAAGCAAATGTTTTCGTGCCCGCATGTAAACTGAACAAATAACTTCCTCGGCTTATGAGGGACCGAAACAAATGACCAAATAAGGCGCCAAGGGCGATGGATTGAAGATGGTGGAGAGCTATGTGGTGATCCAATCTTCTGCCTGATTGGCTGTTTAACTATGCAATCTCTTCGATCGCCACGAGTTGCACCTCTGCTGAACGGCATGGCTGGAGCTTTCCAACCCTTCAATGGTCATGAGGCTCACTTCGACCTCAGACAAAACTGTAGATATTAGGCAGCAGTGACTTAAAATGGCATTTCCTGCGGAGTCCTATTTAAAGCATGGAAAGAAACCTTCCGGTTGAAGCTACAGGTTTTAAACTAAGAAATCGTTTGAGTCACAGGCCAGCAAAAATGACGCATCAAAACAATCACCAACCCATTCGACGAAATTCTGACCAACCAATTTCGTTGACTCCACGACTTTGCACTTTATTGGCCACCTTGACTGGCATAGTTAACGTTTCCGTCTGAATTTTAGGGTTCCTAATAAAGATTTTCAGCCATTCAAGTATTTTAAAGCCCGTCATATACTACTTAATTGATGCTGGTTAGTAGCAAACATAAGAAGAATCCAACCCAGCTAGTATATTAATGTAATGGGAAGTTGCATAGGAGGCTGAAATCCTTAACGATTGAAAAATACTAAACGCACATTTTCGAGAGCCACGACTATCCAGAAAGGAAAAGGTGCCAAATTTCGTATGTACTGTCGATTAACTAAGTACGCTAAGTGACAAGGGATGCACTTCCAAGACAAGAAAACCGCCCAACAGACAGGAAAAGGGGTGCATGAATTTCCCCACATTTTATTAACTTTACATCCTCCTACCTACCTACCAACCGAAGTCGGAAGTGTACGAACAAAACTAGGCAACCTTTCCTTAAGGGAGGAAAATAACCACAGCCTTGTCTTTCTGCAAAAAAAGAAAATACATGTATGTGAGATCATAGAAATGTCTTCATTTTCATTCAACACCAAACATTATTCAGAAATTAATAAACAAAGAAGGTCAGACAAATCAACAAGAAAGTAGACAAAAATCCCCAATTTTTCATCTCAGTTGATATTAGTGAGAACAAGACTTCCTGGACCAAATAAATTTGCGAAGTACGATAAATAGGGGCGAAATTTAGGATCTAAAAAGCAAAATTAATTAAGTCAGAAGGCAATAACTTGTAATTCATATAAAGCAGAGACTAAGTTAGTCCACTGACCAATCAGATTGTAACATTAAGACTCAACAACCAACAGCATCACTTTGCTTGACTTTCAAAGTTAAAGGGGCTAACATTTTTTGGCCCAAGGAAAAAGGAGTTAAACAATCAAGAAAAAATACCTTGAACGAGAGAGGGAGCGAGTGGGGCAGCACGTTCAAAGAATCGAAACGCAGAGTAGAAGATCATTGGGTCCTCACAAAGTTTAGCGGCATCTAGAATCTTCCGTGGTGTACCCTGGAGACCTAGCAATTCTCGGTGATCTTTGCAGAATCTACAAGACAGTAAAAGAAGAGATCCAATCAGTCTACTGCAGAACATAGTTTTGGTAAAAACAAACAATTAGAGCAGCAAATCCCGAGTCTGCTGTTACCTGTCCAGTGGACTACAGAATCGGATATTGTGGGAGATGCTCAAGCACGCCACGGTCTGTTTGAGGCCGTAAACGGGTTCCACCTACTTTCCTTGCTGTGTAGGCAGATCATAACACTCTTGCCTCCACTACAACTAGTTTATTATTTCCGATTACCTTCTAGGCACAGCTGAGACGACAACTGGCACGATGTCAACAGCTCTGTAAAACTGCAGCACACAGTTGACGCTGCGGAAGGTGAATTTGAGGTCTTCAACATACGCACACCTGTACATCATTTGCCTCACGTGTACATTCTACGCTTTGTGTCGTGAAGGAAACAACCCAAGCCTGAGTACCTATATTTCTACTTCAGGTTTTAGTTCTCAAATGCCCAATTGACATACAACTGGACAAGGCCAAGGAAGGGTGATAAGCCCTCAAAGGGATGTCTGAAGGAGGGTCTAGGTGCACGATTTCCGCTTCAAGTCGATGTAAGTGTGAAACAATTGTTCATCATTCACAATGAAACCGCGTTAGGCTCCACTTGACGCAAAACAGAGGTGCAAAATCTTCCATAATCGAAAAGCGAGGGTCCTATGCGTGAGCCTGGAGCCTGTCGAGTTCCCAATCGGAGTAATCAGTAAGCGAAGACTGCAGCACAGACGTTTTTGCTTGCCGACCGGTACGAGTAAGCAGGAAAATACGGCCTGCGCGTATGCTACGACTGATCGGCTAATGGAGACTGCCGGAGACGGTGAGTGACCTAGTCTCGTACATTTATGGTATTTAATTGGCCTGGTCCTTGTAATGACTATCGTCTTACCTAATACACCTCCTGATATTCGTCAATCAGGAGGGAGTGAGCGTGGACCCGAGGCTCAGGAATACTCGTGAGACGGCTACGAAAATAAGAGCTACTGGAAGCTCGAAACAGGAGATTTTTCAGAGGCTACAGGCATTCCCTCTCCAGACACTATACAAGTGGAGCTTCTGTGGCTTTGGAAACGAGTTAAATGCAGGTCGGCAGGCAGACAAGGTCAAATCATATTTATCAGATTCGTCCTACTGCCAACATAACAATATGCGAGTTAAAAAGAGAACAATGCATGCGTCAAACAAAAAACAGACACCTTCAGAGTTCCTACTGGTTGCATCAAGGCAATGTAGTAAGACATACTGAAAACTGGGCGATATTTTTTGTTGGTCACCCGGCATCAGCGCTTAACGTACTTTCACAACTTGACAGCCTGAAGTTGTATACCGACGCTATTTCCAAAGCGGGAAAGTCAAAGATCTAGCAACACCCATAAACA